CCCAGGATGCTAGAACAGACCGATTAGACAGCTGTCCCTGGAATACCAGTGCAGGTGGGAGTGCCCCCCACTTCATGTTTCTGCGTATATCACAGGAGGTCTCTGACTGGGCCAGTCGCTATGGACTTGGGAGCCCTGTGCTACTTTCTCACTACTGTGGTGGGAAATTCCTGTTTTGTACTGCTTGAGCACTTATCATAGAATCTGTATCTGAGTGCTCACATCTGTATGAACTTCAAACACTCAGCTTTCAATTAAGGCTCTCAGGAGGGAAGTGAAACGGCTCCCCAGCTGCAGAGCCAGAGGACTCCTGGTCTAACCTCGGTTTTTCAGCACCAGTCAAGAAGGGGTAGGGCTACAAGGGTCTCTCTGTAACCCCAGGCTGGCCTCACTCTCACAGAGATCCACCTGTCTCTGTCTCCCAAGTGCTGGGATCAAGGCATTCACCAACACACCCAGCAAATTAGTGATTTTTGTCTTTTTTTTTTTTTTTCGGAGCTGAGGACGGAACCCAGGGCCTTGCACTTGCTAGGCAAGCCCTCTACCACTGAGCTAAATCCCAACCCCAAATTAGTGATTTTTAATCTTCCCTTTAAAAAGAGTCCAGGCCCAGATAGCTTCACTGTTGACTTCCTTTGACCTTAGCCAAGAAGCTGAGAGGAGGCAGACTGGACCAGGCACTCAGGGAGAATCAAGGCCAGTTCTTTACCAGGGCACACCTCTAACTCATCCCATGAAGCCTGCTCTTCAACACCAGAAACACACAAAGACATCACAATAAAATGACAGATGGACCTCCTAGAAATATGGAGGTAAAAATCATGCACAGGGGAGCTGGAGAGATGGCTCAGTGGTTAAGAGCACTGGCTGCTCTTGCAGAGGACCCAGTTTGATTCCCAGCACCCATATGGTAGCTAACAACAGTCTATAACTCCGGTTCCAGGGGATTTGATGCCTTCTTCTGACCTCTACAGGCACTACACGACATGGGTGCACCTGCCTACATGCAAGCAATACATTCATACACATAAAATAAAAATAATAAAATAAAATAAATCATACACAGAATGTGAGCAAACCAGTTCTAGACATATATGAAAAGACCATACAGACCTAAGTATTTGGTGATCCCAGGATATAAGTTTGGTTTCATTTCTGAAAACCAGTGACTGCAACACACCACCCTTCAGAGTAAAGCCACATGGTGACCTCCATGCAATGACCTCAGCTATATGGAAAAGGGATCTGATGAAGCCCCACACCCCTTCAGCACAAAAAACACACAAAAAGGGAATTGGGGGTGCCGGAGGCACACACCTGGGATTCCAGCACTTGTGATGTGGATGCAGGATCATAAGTTTTAAAGCCATCCTGGCCTACAAAGTGAGACTCTATCACAGAAAGGGGGTCAGGAGAAGTAAGACAGGAGGAAGGGGAGAGAGAAGAAACGGGGCAAGAGGGAAATGCCCTCACCTTACAGAGGGCATCTAGAAAAGCCGGGATCGGACACCATCCTAAAGATCAGGAAGAAATAAGCCCAGAGGTCCAGCAGAAGTTGTTTGCGTGTTGTGCATACACACACACACACACACACACACACACACACACACACACAAATAGATAAATAAGAATGTAATAATTTTTTTTTTTTGTCTTTTTGAAATAGGGTCTCCCTGTAGTCCCAGCTGACCTGAACTTACTATGTAGACCAGGCTGGTCTTGAACTCACAAAGATCCACCTGCCTTTGTCTCCCAAGTGCTGAGACTAAAGGCGTGCGCCACCACGCCTGGCCGAATGTAATAAAATTTTAAATAAAATAAAAATAGAGCTGGGGGTGTGACTCAGTGGTACAATGCTTATCAAGCATTTATAAGGCTCTAGGCTTTATCTCTAGACCACAAAATAAATAAATTGCATCTCTATATATTAGCAATCAATAAACCAAAACCAAAATTAATATCTCATAACATCAAAAAATTTGGAAGATTAACAAAAGATATGACTTTTTAAAGACATTTTTAAAAATTTTATGTGTATGAGTATATTGCTCGCATGTATGTAAGTGCACCATGTCGTGCAGTGTCTGAGGAGGTCAAAAGAGGGTGTTGAATCCCCTGGAACTGGAGTTACGGACACTTGTTAGCCACCATGTGAGTTCTGAGAACCAAACCCGGGTCCTCTGGAAGAACAGCCAGTGCTCTTAACCGCTGAGCCATCTCTCCAAGCCCCCAGATACATACTTTGAAAACTATAAAAATTGTTGCAAGAAATCAGTGAAGAGCAAATTAATAGGAAGGGTACCTCTTGTTCATGAGTCACAAGAGCAAATGTTGTTAAGATGGGAAGATGGCTGTCGGTAAAGTGCTTGCCATACAAGCATGAAAACCTGAGTTTGAGCTCCAGAACCCACCACCAGAATCAAGTGCCTCAAAACCAACTATAACTCCTGCTTTAGGGAATCTGACACATTCTTCTAGCCTCTGAGGGTATCCACATGCATGTGTGTGTACAGATACATAAAAACACACACAGATACACAAACACATAAGTGGAGAAAAAAAAAAAAAACAGGGTAACTCAGTGGCAGTGCATACTTGCATGTGTGAGGACCTAGATTCAGACCCCAGCACTGCGATTTTTTTAAAAAAGACCAACTAGACAACAAAGACAACCCAATTTTAAAACGGGCACAGAGCCAGGCAGGATAGTACACAGCTTTAGTCCCAGCACTTCGGCAGCTGGATCTCTGAGGGACCAAGGCCAGCCTGGTCTGGTCTACATAGTGAATTATAGGCCAGCTGGAGCTGTAGGGAGAGCCTGTCTCAAAAAACCAAAAGAAGTAAATACAGGCAAAGGATGCACACAGACAGGCATTTCTCCCAGAAACCAAAACCTGGCCAATAAGCACACAGACAGAAGCTCATGGTCAGAACCTACTGGAAAAGGCAAGTGAATCACGTGAGATGCCATGTCCTGCCCACAGAAGGGCTGTCATCAGAAAGACAACCAGCGCCAAGCACTGTCCCGTACATGCGAGACTCAGACCTTCCTCTACTGCTGTGGTACATTTGGTGACGCGGCACCTTGAAAACACAGCCCAACCTTTCTTCTAAAGGTTCAACAGGGGCTGGAGAGATGACCTGGCCGTGAAGAGCACTGGATGCTCTCGCAAAGGACCTGGGTTCAGTTTGCAGCACCCACACAGCAACTAACAACCGTCTGTAACTCCAGTTGCAGGGATCTAACACTGTCTTCTGGCCTCTGCCAGCATTGCATAACACAGGTGCACTCACATACATCCAGGAAAAACACTCATACACATAAATAAAAATAAATAGAGGAAGAGAGGGAAGGAGGGAATGAGGGAGGGAGGGGGGAGGGAAGGAAAAGATAGACCTACACAAAACTCACCCCTCAATCACCCACAGCCACAGTATTGATTGTGGCCCCACAGTGGAAACAACCCAATGCCCATCAACTGAAAAATAGGTAAACAAGAGTTTCGCCAACTGTGTACGTCCAGAGGAGGAGTGTCAGAGCTGTCAGAGCCTCCGGGCCCACTGTCTGCATTCTACTCAGAGAGTGGAAGTTTGTCTTTTCTCTTTCTGGATCCCTTGACCTGGCTCTCCCGCACTCTGGCACCCTCAGTCTCTATCTGAAAAGTCCCTATCCTATGCAGGCGCTGCAGGCTTCCACCCAGGAGCCCACCTGCTTTCCTGACCTCCGACTCAAAAAACATGACTTTTCTTCACTCCTATCCATCTCCATCCTCCCAGCAACTGACTTCTGCAGCCTGCCCAAGACTGTTGCTTTTCTCTCCAACTCCAATAAGATTGCCCTCCAGTTTCAAAGTAAAATCGGTGCATCAAAGGGACACAGTGCCCCCATGTTTACAGTGACATTGTTCCTAACAGCCAAGGCATGAAAACAAAGAAAATGTGGTACATTGTGATGGAATACTATTCAGCCATAAAAAAACACAAAACTCTGTCACCTGAAACAACATGGGTAGAACTGGAAAGCACATGGGAAGGGAAAACACGCCAGGCACCGAATGACAATTCCCACACAATCTCACTCACATGTGGAGCCTCAAAAATTGATATGGAAGTTAGGATAGAATGGTGGCAACCAGAGGCTGGGGAGGAAAACAGAGAGGAATCGGGAAAGGTTGGTTAGTGGCTAAAAATTTCTAGTTAGGAGGAGGGAGTCCTAGTGTGTCACTGAATAGTAGGTTTCTGAAAGGTAGCAATGCACTGCACATTTCAAAAGGCTGCAAGGGGGACTGGAGAGATGGCTCAGCAGTTAAGACCACTGGCTGCTCTTGCAGAGGACCTGGGTTCAATTTCCAGTACCCACATGGCAACCTACAACTATCTATAACTTCAGTTCCAGGGAAATTCAATGCTCTCTTCTGACCTCCACAAGCATTGCATGACATGGGTGCACTTAAATACATGCAGGCAATACATTTATACACATAAAATAAAAATAATAAATAAAATATTTTTTAAAAACTGCAAGGAGGGCCGGGTGTGGGGGCATACGACTGTAGACCAGGCTGGCTTTGAACTCACAGAGATCCACTTGCCTCTGCCTCCCAAGTGCTGGGATTAAAGTTGTGTGGTACCACACCCAGCACAAATTGTATTTCTATATTTCAGCCCCAAATCCAGAACCAGCCCCAGCCTGGTAGGAGAGAGAAGAGAGCCAGAGGGGGTGGAATACACACATACTACTCCAAAGGAAATTTTGATAAGATCTACCCAAATTACAACATCAGAGGATCATGAGTTCAAGGCCAGCCTGTGCTATATACAGTGAGTTGGAAGCCAGCCTGGATTACATATTGAGTTGGAAGCCAGTCTATACTATGTAGTGAGTTCAAGGCCAGCCTGGACTACCTTGAGTTGGAGGCTAGCCTAGGCTACATAATGAGTTCAGGCCAACCTGTACTACATGAGATCCTATCTCAGAAACTGGCATGCACACAGCCTACCTGCCTTCTCAGATCCTGACTTGGCCTGGCATGGCTCCTCAGGTCACTGGCACACTCTCAGCCTCTGTGTTCCGTCCTGCAGAGGGAAAGATGACAGTGACCAGTGACATTCCCACATGGCTGTAACAAGGCTCTCCATGTGCAGTTCTGCAGGTTACACACGTCACTATGGACATCAGGTGACTGTTTCAATCACCCAAAGCCTCAGAGTGAGTGTGCAGAGAGCAGCAAGCAGTGTGCTCCAGCGGCAGACTGGGGAGGTTTCCTGCAGATGCAGACTGAAGCAGAACTTGTGGGGACAGGGTCCCCACAGCAGGGAGGGCAGCATCTCCAGCATGTAAGAGTCCAGGGCACTCATCCCTGTGCACTCACTGGCTGCATCAGTCCACTAGGCTAAGTACCTACTACATACTAGCTCACTGCAGCCAGGGGACTGAAGACATAAGGAAAGAACCATAAAAGGTACAGTGACAGGAACAGTGGGGGCTGGGCAGAGCATTGCCCAGACCACACCAAACATAGACTCAGAGAGGTCAAGGGACTGCCTCTTGTCACACAGCAGACTCCGCTTCTCAAAGCATACTCTCTCAGCCCCCTCTGCCCTTCCTTAAGCCCAAGGAGGGGAGACCCCAGAACACATCTAAACTGGGGGGGCTCTCAGAGGAGGGTAACTCAAAGTACACTCCACTCAACAACACAAACCCAGGAGGCCCCACCCCAGCAGTGTCATCAGCTCCCTTTTGTAGAAGAGGCTGAGGAACCAAGAAGTTTGACTAGTTGCCTAAGGTCACACAGCAACACAGCATTGGGGGAGAACATGCTGGGACTGTCAGAGCTCCACAGTCTCCTATAGCCCAGGGCCCATCCTTGAAGGCACACGGCAGGACCTGTGTCAGGTACCATCTCTTCCCTCCAGCTGTCCTCAGCAGGACCAGGAATGTCTCCTGGTAACAGAAGCACCATTGGGCACTGGGAGAGTGGGTATGGGTGCTATGTGGGAATGAGTGAAGAGGTGGCAGGTACAGAGGGTGGTGCACAGTTTCCCGTAGGACCTATACAGCTAGGTAGGGGATGGCACCATGGTTTGGGGGTTCTGGGCAAGTCCTTCAAAGCATCCTTTGCTGTCACTCTGGGTGGCAGCAGAGGCATAGTCCAAGCCCATGGGCTGCCATGGCAAGGGACTTTACTCTGACCCCCATAGTCAGCTCCTGGTTCTCACCATAACCTGGTCACATAAGGACAACCAGTGTGTCTGCCCCCAGAGACGACAGGAGACACTCAATGAAGCCATCAGATGCCAGGCCACCATCCAAGACTACCTTAGACCAGCTGAGGGCTCCGCTGTCTCCAAGCCCCCTCCCCAAGGTCACTGGTCCCAGCTGGACTCACAGAGAGTCCAGAGCCCATGGGCCAGCTCATTCTTTTAAAGGAGAATAGAAGCTGGACAGAGGGGTACACATCATGGGCCCCAGGTAGCCAGGCTGATGTAGTCTTCCCTCCACCTCCCAGGCCAGTGAGGACCACCTAGAGGGAGGGAGCGAGCAAGAGAGAATATGGGGCTTAGGGCTGGGTACTCAGCTGACATATAGACAGGTCTCCATCAGTTATCATCTGTGGTAGGCTAGAGGACCTGGGAGGGTATCACCCCACAACCGTCTCACATGTCATGGCCAACCCAAGAGCAGGCATCTCTCCTGATATTTTTTTCCTATTTCCTCATGCTGGTGAAAAGCTCCTGGAAGGTAAGCATCTTGCTGCAGATTCTATCTCCTTTCTCCTCATGCAGGTGGGAAGCTCCCCAAAAGCAGGCATTGCTCCTGATTCTTTTCCTTTTTCCTCATGCTGGTGGGATGCTCCCCAAGGGCAGGCAGCACTCCTGGTTTTTCCCTTTAACTTTATCAGTGGGACTGCTTGCTCACCTGGGTGTTCTTCCACACACAGCTTTGGAATGTGTTAAGGACACTGAGATGAAGAAATATGTAGTGAGGACTGAGGTTCACTTAGCACCTACTATGTGCCTTTTCCAGGCTGGCCTCAAACTCACTTCATGTAGCCCAGGATGACTCTGAGCTTCTAATCTTGCCTTCGCCTCCCATGTCCAGTTTACGTGATGCTTGGGACCCAGGGCGTTGTGCATGTTAGGCAAGCATTTTATCAACTGAGATACATTCTCAGCCACTTTTTATGGGTTTTCTTGTCCTTAGCCTCCCAAGTGCTGGAACTCTATTATACAGATGAGGCACAGATATTTACCTGCCTCTGCCCCTCGAGGCCTGGGATTATAGGCATGCACACCATGCCCAGCCCCTATGTGTCATCCCCTAAAGCCCATTTTACAGATGAGGAAGAAGCAACTGGGTCAAATGATGAGCCTAAAATCCCATCTTGAGGCAGCTGGTGATGGTGTAAGCCCCCCTTGGCCCTGACCCTAGCCCCAGCATCTCCTAAAGCAGGCTGCTCCAGGGGCTGCTGGGAAAGGCTCTCAAAGAAGAGCCTGAGGCTGGATTGATCCTTCCTGGAACACAGCCTGGGGTGGGGAGTGGTGTAGATAGGACTGGGACCTTTCTGCTAGGGTTCACACCACCCTCTTGAGGCTCTCAGCAACCCTGGAGCAGGCTGAGGCCATATGGCCTTATACCTGAGGACAGGGAAGGCCTCTGGCCAGGAAGCCCTGCCTCTCCACCCTGCCCCAGGAGGAGGCAGGGAGGGGAGACAACAGCACTGGGAGATAAGGAGGTATGGCCAGGGTGTTCTCAGCTTAAATGAGGAGCTGCCAGCCTGAGGGACACCCCAAGACAGTTCGTTCATGAGTCCAGGTCAGGGAGGACTCCATCAGCATCACTGTGTGACCCTGGGCAGACCACACATCACCTGGGCCTCAGTCAGTGCCCAGGGCACAGAGGCCCCAGGAGACCAAAGATCAGGGGGTAACCCTGGTGGCTCACTGAGGTGACAAGTTCCATTCAGTCCTCTCCCAACCTCTCCAAGGTCATCTGGCTGCCCCTCCCTGCTAGTGACAGGCAGATGGGCCCTGAAGGGTGCTGCCAGCCAGGCCCTGCCCACGGTGCCCGCTGTTCCCTGCCAGCAGCTCTAGCTGCTACTCAGCTCTGAGAACATAGTGCCCCCTCCTCCCCGCCCACACCCAGGTGGCATCTCCCTTGGGGACACGGGTGGGCAGGAACACCAAGTAGCCAGGCCCCACAGCAAAAGCAGTCCTGGCTCCAACCCCCATTGCCCTAGCCCACAGGTGCCTAAGGCAAGAAGGGCCAGTCTCTCCTCTCCGTGAACTAGGGACAGGGCATGTAAGCATGACTGGGGTGGAGGGCAGTGGTCAGCAAGATGGTTCAGACCGTTAACACCCATGCCTGCTGGGGACCACTGCTTCCATCTCCCTTCCCCCTCCCTCCCACACTGCTTCACCTTCCCTATACAATCCTCCAGCACACGCCCTTCACTCCATGAAAGCTCCGAGATACTCTCAGGGGCTGATCACAGGCAGTTCCCAGCCTCACCTATCCTTACCCAGATGAAAAGAGGCACCCCTCTTTTTCTGGGCCAACAGAGCCCCCTTGGGTCCTTCCTCACTGTGTGACCAAGGGAAAGTTTCTCTACCACTCTTTGCCTGTTTTCTCTCATAAAATCCAGATAAACAAAACAGCCATGAGTATGAATGCGTTCCTATCGTGAAGGCCCGAGACTAAGCCTGGAGTCCAGCAAGCATGCTGTGTGCCCAATGCCCATCAGAGCAGCAACCACGAGGCACTGAGCACCCACTACGCCCTGCACTCGGCATGGAACCCAGTGGAGCAGTGGGCCAACTGACCTGCATCAGCCTTTCCAGCAAAAGGCATCTGGGGGGAGGAGGAGGGAAGTGACAGGGAAGAACTGTGAGCTTTAGTTATTATGGATCCGTGGCTACTTAGCGCTCCTTTTAGAGGTACAAAACGTGCAGGTGAAGCAGTTCAGAAATCCACTCTAGAATGTGAGGAGCAGCAGGGAGGGGGAAGGAGGGGCCAGGGGCTCTGCAATGGCTCCAAGGTGCAAGGTCTCCACAATACAGAAAGATGATGAGCCCATTAACGAAAAAGAATTAGGCCTGATTCTCTCACCCCCTCCCAACAACTACTCCAGACTGCACAACCCCTTTTTCCTGCCCACGGCACATCTGCCCCTGCATCCACCATCTGTTCTGCAGCTAGCAGCCAGATGCACCCAGCACCTAATGTGGCCCCACCATACTCTCAGTCCACAGCCCACTTTCACACTGTGGTCGTCAAGCCTCCCTGCTCCTCCCTTTGGGTCCTACTGCCCTCCTCACCCTCTATCTTCTTCCTGCTTACTCTGTCCCCCAGCCTCTTGCTGTTGCTCCAACACGCCAGGCATGCCCCTGCCTCAGGGCCTTTGCACTGGTGTTCCCTCCCTCCAGTCATATACCCACACCCACTCCCAGCACCTGCCAGCCCTTCAACATTAGTTCCTTCCCTGGCCACCCACCTAACAGCAGCCCATCCATTTCCCAGATGGCATCTCAAACCCCTTCCCTAGTTTATGCAGGATCCACAGCACTTGGCTCCCTCTTAAGAGACCACGCACACAGATCCTTTGTTTGCTGGGTTTCTATTTCCTCTACTGGACTGTGACCACTGAAAAAGAAGGGATTGGTGTCCAGCTGGTGATTCTTTACTGTATGGATAGATGATGGATGGATAAGTGTGTAGATGGATGGATGGATAGATGGAAGGTTCAATGGGTAGGTAGATTACATGGACAGATGCCAGATAGATGCCAGATAGATAGATAGATAGATGATAGATAGATAGATAGATAGATAGATAGATAGATAGATAGATAGATAGATAGATAGACAGATGACTCGATGCGTGTGGGGGCTAGATAGACAGATGGATAAGACAGATGGGTAAGTAAATACATGGATAGGTAGGAAGATAGATGGGTGGATGGAAGACGGCTGGGAAAGTGGGTGGATAAGTAGACAGATAGGTAGGTAGGCAAGAGAGTGAATGTATGGGTGGGTAGATAGGTGGATGGATGGACCCTGTCCAAGCCCCCTAGGAA